ATAAGGACTAAGTGAGCTCTATTTATTCTATTTGATCTCCTTGTTGCTTTAATTGGAAATAACAAAAGGTTTTTTGTGGCAAAGATTGCAGTTCAAAGCCAGCCCAGGCCAAAAAATCCCTAAGACTCCATCTCCCAGCTAACCTGCCTCATGAGACTTCTCCAAACTTCGTCCAAGAGACTTGCTTCCTCCAGACTTCATCTAATGACTCAACACCCAAGTGACAGCTGCTGCTTGCTGCCTTCTCCCTGAGGGGACCACATCCCAGCCTTTTGCCCCTACTGTCGACACCTCTTGCAAGCAGAAACCCCTTGCCAGAGAAACTCTTTGCCCTTTTTCATAATTATCAAAAGGCTGGAATGTAAGGTCTGAACAGGGACACCTCCCTCCCTCTTGGCTAAGTTTCTGCTCAGTATCTGTTACCTAGGTAACTGGCAGACCTGGAAGCAGTCACCTTCCCCTCTTGCTAGGTTACATCCTGGGCCACCTCTGGTCACATGCTTCCCATCTGACCTTAGGGGGATCCTAGACCCTGAGGTCACATCCTGATCCAGTGTGGCCACACCTTTTCCCCACCTGGCCCCACCTCTTCCTGTCCCTGGCCTAGATAAGTCCTAGCAGAGGAGTGGGCCCTTTCCCCTTCTTCCCCCCCTCCCCCACTTCCTTTTCAGCCATGCTTCTCCACCATGCTTGTACGGGCAGCAGTTCAGTAAATAAACTTCTTCTCCTGTCTGAATAGCGTGTGGTGTTCTCCTCATTGGCTACCTAATGAAACCTACCTATTTAATATACCTTACACTGTTCATAAAACTTCACATACCAAAAAAAGAATCCTCTATTGTAAATCATATTTTTCAAGAGGGATTCCTTGAACAAGCAGCTTTTCCAACACCTCCCAAAAGGAGAACAACCAGCTTTGAATGTCAAAACCTAGTACCTCTTACACTATTACTAGATTTTCTTTTTTTGGGGGGGGGTCCAGTGGTGGGCCTGAACTCTGGGCCTGGGCGCTGTCTCTCAGCTCAAAGCTAGCACTCTACTACTTGAGCCACAGTGCCACTTCTGGCTTTTGTTTTTCCTGCTTATGTAGTGCTGAGGAATCAAACCCCAGGGCCTCATGCATGCAAGGCAAGTGCTCTACCACTGAGCCACCTTCCCAGCCCTATTACCAGATTCTTGTAGCCAGCATTGTCCTGTGCTCCTCTAGGTCTCTGCTCATTTAAATTTCAATCATATGTCTCCATATCAGTAATGGCTTTAGAAACATCTTGTATTTTGTGCCCTCCCAGTGGTGAGCAGCTATTGACTTTTGTTGTTGTTGTTGTTGTGAAAATACCTTACAGAGGGGTTACAATTACATGTGCAAGGTAATGAGTACATTTCTTATCAAGCATTGTTGCCTCCTCTTTTGTTTCCCCTTCCCATCTTCCCTCCTTATCTGGTTCTTTCATCTCAGTGCACTGACTGATAATGGAGTCTGGGCCTGAGAGGATTAAGGAAAGTAACTAGAGCAGTGTGAACTGCTTCCTGACCATTTTACCACTGGGGCTGTCAGAGTAAACCACATGTGATGTTGTAAACAGATAAGACTGCCCATAGTTGGCACAACTGGCTCATCAAGCCATTCCTAGGCCTGAGGACTACTCAATGGGTCAATGCATGTGCAACTTGAACAGGTGCACAGGTGGTTCCCACATAGCTTGGGAAGCTACAGTAATGTAGAAAACATGAAATCTAACATATTCTAAAACACTTCCTAACCATTTTGCGTTGGACAAAACATTTTAACCTTTCAGAAGCTGTTTGTTTATATGTAAATAAGGCTGATAATATTTATCTTCTGGGATTGTGGTAATATTAAAAGACCAGGGGCTGGGAAGGTGGCTCAGTGGTAGAGCACTTGCCTTAGATGCATGATGCCCTGGGTTCGATTCCTCAGCACCACATAAGCAAAAAGAAAAAAGCCAGAAATGGCGCTGTGGCTCAAGTGGTAGAGTGCTAGCCTTGAGCTGAAGAGCTGAGGGACAGTGCCCAGGCCCAGAGTTCAGGCCCCACGACCGGACCCCCCCCCCCCAAAAAAAAAGACTAATCCAGGACTTCGTCCATTCATGTACTGACATTTACTAGAAATTTTGATTTCTTAGTAGGCTAACTATATATTGTCCTTACACTTTCATTTCTAATGATATTTAAAAAGTATGTGTGTGTGTGTGTGTGTGTGTGCTGGCACTAGGGCTTGAACTCAGGACCTGGGCTCTGTCCTGGAAGGTCCGCTCCTTGAGGGTGAGCAGACTCCACCCTTCTAACAAAGTGTCCGCCCAGTACCTGCATTACCTAGGCAACCCACACACCTGGAAGAGGTCACATCCACATCCACATCCGCTGATGTCACATCAGGATCTGATGTGGCCACACCTTTCTCCCACCTGGTCCCACTTCCTCTTACCTGGTCCCACCTCCCTTTACCTGGCCACACCTTTCTCTGCCCCTACCCTAGATAAGGCCTAGCTCAGGGCCAGATGTCCTCTTTGCTAGCGGCATGGAGTACCAGCCTGTCTACTGAACAAACCTGCCCCTTACCTGAATACCATGTGCGTGGTGCTGTTCTTACTCAACCTCTTCTTTAAAAACCTAACCCATCCTTCCTTACCTTTTTCTGTTCAAGGTTAACAGTCTACCACTTGAGCCATAGTTCTACCTGCAGCCTTTTGCTGGTTAATTGGAGCTTGGAGTCTCAAGGACTTTCCTGCCCATACTGGCTTCAAACTATGATCCTCAAATTTCAGTCTCCTTTTTTTTTCTTTTTTCTTTTTTTGCCGGTCGTGGGGCTTGAACTCTGGGCTTGGGCATTGTCCTTGTGCTCTTCAGCTCAAGGCGAGAGCTCTACTGCTTGAGCCATAGCACCACTTAGGGTTTTCTAGTAGTTTATTGGAGATAAGAGTCTCACAAACTTTCCTGCCCGGACTGGCTTTGAACTGCGATCCTCAGATCTCAGCCTCCTGTAGCCTCCTGAGTAGCTAGGATTACAAACGTGAGCCACCAGCACCCAGCTGTAACCAGAGGGGTTACAAGTACATGGGCAAGATAATGAGTACATTTCTTTTTTTTTTTCTTTTCTTTTTTTTTTGTTGGGTCCGGTCATGGGGCCTGAACTCTGGACCTGGGCGCTGTCCCTCAGCTCTTCAGCTCAAGGCTAGCGTTCTACCACTTGAGCCACAGCGCCATTTCTGGCTTTTTTTTTCCTGCTTATGTGGTACTGAGGAATCAAACCCCAGGGCCTCATGCATACAAGGCAAGTGCTCTACCACTGAGCCACTTTCCCAGCCCCAATGTGAGTACATTTCTTATCAAGCATTGTTGCCTCCTCCTTTGTTTCCCCCTCCCATCCTTTCCCATCTCCCCCCCTCCGCCCCCAGCTTATAAATTTTGATGTGAATATATTGCCTTCTTATTACTGGCAAAAACCAGACAACTGGACAAGGGATAGGAGGGGCTTGTGGTTGGTAGGATGGTATCAATAGTAGAAGTCTGTGCTGTTGAAAGTTTCTGAAGACCACAGAGTATAAGTTTTACAATGTCATTTCCTTGAGTAAAACAGCTTGCTTCCTGAAAGGGCACTAGGGAAAGAGGCCCCAGGAGAAGATTCAAGACAGATCCCAGTATAGCTTATGCTCTGGAGATGTTGAGATTGAGCAGAAGTTGGTGAGGATGATGACAGAAAGTAAGGATAAAAAACCCTAGCATTTATGTTATATGTGTATTTTGTAGTAAGCACTTTGTTAGCACTCACAGTCTTTTCTTTTTTTTAATTCAGGGCCTCTAGCTCTCTCTCTCTTGGCTGGTGTTCTACCACTTGAGCCACACATCCACTTTCATCTTTTATTTTACAAAAAAAAACCCTCACATACAGTGGTCCTCAACCAGGGTTAATTTTCCCCTCTTTAACATTCCCCTCTGGGGACTGTTTGCCAATATCTGCAGGAATTTGTGTTTTTCACAATGAAGGATATCACTGACATTTAAAGGATAGAGGCAAGGGATGCCCCAGAGCCCATGATTTTCATCATGGCATGGTGGTAAAAAGAGCAATATGAAAATAAAGATGCAGAAATCAATAAAACGTATTGAGATACTCATTAAATTAATGAATACATAAAACAAGAAATAGAGGAAAATAATGAGGATAAACGTGGTCACTTTAATGCTGCTCTGGCATAGATCCTTGCTTTTGTTCCACAAGTGTGCTAGAGATTGTGATAATAGGAAATCATATGACAGTGGGTAGTTTCAAGCTCCTTTGCTCAGTTTTAGGAGGAGTCAGATTCCAGTGACAGGTCTCCAAATGCAAGTAGTAATAGCCAGGCACTGGTGGCTCACACTTGTAATCCAAGCTACTCAGGGGGCTGAGATTTGAGAAGCTGTAAGACTCTTATTTCCAATTAACCACCAACAATACACAGAAGTAGAGCTGTGGGTCAAATGCCCAAACCCTGAGTTCAAGCCCTAGTACCTGCATGAGAGAGAGACAGAGACAAAGAGTGACAGGGAGAGAGGGGGAGGGAGAGAAAGAGAGAGAGAGAGAGAGAGAGAGAGAGAGAGAGAGAGAGAGAGAGGAGGTACCAGAAGATTGCCAGTATAACAACCTCCATCATTTTTTCCTTTCTTTCTTTCTTTCTTTCTTTCTTTCTTTCTTTCTTTCTTTCTTTCTTTCTTTCTTTCTTTCTTTCTTTCTGATGGAGATGGAGGTCAGAATTGCTGAACTGAGTTTAGGTGATCATTCCCTCTTTCTACCAGAGGTTTAGGTCAACTATGGTCCCAAAAGAAGAAGAGGGAAGTTGCTTTCCAGTGTCTAAAATTTCAATGATTTGAGTTGAGCCTCATAGATGAGTAGCCCTGAATTTTCTAGGCAGGAACATGATGAAAGGAAAGAGGGTAGAAAGGGAGGAGCCTATAATTAAACAGACCTTTTCACTTCCTCATTTGGATTCCAGAATTTCTCCTCTGAGTTGACTCTGCCAAGTCTGGACAGAAGCCTGTGCCTGTGAGCATCTAGAGCCACATCGCTTCAGGGGTGAATCCCAGCATTTCTATCTCTACTTGCCATTGAGAGTGACTGGGCTGTTTGCAAGCCCTTGCAGATTTGGGATCACATGCTACTGTGGACAGCTGTGTTATTCCTGGGTGAGTCAGGACCCCCGGTGAGGAGTATGGAAACCTGGGTTGAGGTCCAACTTGGGTGGGGATGAGGGTCACTTGGGAAGCCTGTCAAGAAAATATCAGGAGTGTTGTGTAGGTTGCTAGACTGACAGCTCTGCTGGCCTTCAAAACTCAAGGTTGGTAGAATTTGTTGGTTATGCTTTCTTTGGCTGGGCATTCAGGAACTCAGTACTCTGCCACTCTTCATTCCCACCCCCAAACACCAGGACCTGCTCAGAGGAAAATCTAGTGATCTAAGTTGGAGTAACAAACAAGTGGCCAGAATGTTTCCCTTTGATGATTCATGTGGGCATAATTTTACGTAAGATAGCTACTTCTGCCCCAGACAAAGATGTACTTCAGGGGGTAGCATTTACCATTCTCTGTGCCCCCCCAAGCCACAATGCAGCATCTTTATGTGTAAGGAGATTCCTCTGGGTAGAAGCACAGAAGGATCTGGATCTTATAGGGATCTGAGGCTCAGAGAATTTACATACTTGGACAATTCTGTAGCTGTCAATTGCAGGACCACAGAAATCACTTGCTACACCCACACCCCCATTCACTGGTCATGGGTCTAACTAATGACAAAGGCAGGGTCTTTAATTTTCTAGTTAAGTTCTCAGCTGGATAGTTGGAAGAGACTGGAGGAGATCCCTACTATCAGAATCCTGGGACTTTGAGCGTGCCTCTCAGAGCAAGAAATATGAGCTCTGGGGGATCTTTTCCCTTAATACTGGATTGACATGTTGCTATTAGAGGCAGAGGTAAGGAGCAGGAAGATTTCCCTATGTGTGGGTTGAAGTAGAATAGAGTGTAAAGTGGATTGATCTGCCTCAGTTTTCATGTGGAAAGGCTCAGCCCTAGAGAGGTGATGTGCTTCTCTGTGGATGCCAATAGTGCTATCACTGTCATCTGGGCAAGACTCCTAAGTTCTGCTGTTTACTAAATCTCCAGGAATCTATCCCATTTCCCCCTTCCTATATTTAAGTCTTCACCACTTCACCACTGGAATTTGGTGTGTGTGTGCGTGTGTGTGTGTTGATGGTACTATAGTTTGAATTCAGGGTCTTACACTTGTTAGGCAGACAGGTGCTCTACTGCTTGAGCCATGACTCCATCCATGATTGCATCTCCTTTCCTTCCTTCCTTCCATCCCCCTTCCTTCCTTCCTTCCTTCCTTCCTTCCTTCCTTCCTTCCTTCCTTCCTTCCTTCCTTCCTTCCTACCTTCCTTCCTTCTTTCCTTGTTTCCTTCCTTCCTTCCTTCCCTCCTTCCTTCCTTCCTTCTTCTCTTTCTTCATTTTTGTGTGTGTTGGCAACAGGGTTTGGACTCAGGGCCTTGTGCTCTTGCTTGCTTGCACTCTACTACTTGAGTCACACCTCCAGTCTGGCATTTTGTTGGTCAATTGGAGATAGAGTCTCATAGACTTTTCTGGTGGGTTAGCTTCGAACTAAGATCTTCCTGAGTAGGTAGGATTACAAGCATGAACCAACAGTGCCTGGTTCTGATTGTCTTGATTGCTCCTGACTCCCTCTGTGTCCACTATGCACACCAAAGCCAGGGTATTTTCAAGTAGAACTATGACTGAGTCACTGTACATCATAAATGCTTCTGGAACAAGTCCACTGCCTACTGAAGAAACTCCAGTTCTCCCCTTCTAACCATGTTCTCATCACATCAACAATGAATATAATCAGACAGGGCATACACTATGTTTTGTTTTTAACATCTCTGCTTCTGTTTATGCTAAAGGTATTTTAGCAGAGTGTCTTTGCTTCTGTATATTCTACCATGTCTTAACCCTTAAATAAGCTCTATGTGCAAGGCACCGTTTTAGAACTTGAGAATTTATCAGTGAACACATAGATGGTTTCTTCAACCTAAACCACAAGATCTTTATTTACTTCACAATGAGAACACTAGGTGTGAAATAATTAGTTCTTACTACTATTTGTGTTTTTTTGTTTTTTGTTTTTTTTGGGTCTGGTCGTGGGGCCTGAACTCTGGGCCTGGGCGCTGTCCCTCAGCTCTTCAGCTCAAGGCTAGCCACTTGAGCCACAGCGCCACTTCGGGGTTTGTTCTTTTTGCTTATGTGGTGCTGAGGAATCGAACCCAGGGCCGCAGGCATGCAAGGCAAGCGCTCTACCACTGAGCCACCTTCCCAGCATTACTACTATTTGTTAAATGTGATAGTACATGATTGGTAATGTCTCTCCTTTCCTCATCTCTTTCTTTTATTTTTAATTTTTTGTCTTCTTTATCCTCTTCACCCACTTTCCCACTGAGCTGTCCCTCTTACCATTTCTACTCCCATTGTTTGCTATTATTGTGTCTACATCAATAACCCAAAGCTATTTCCTTGCTTACTCTATATACTTACATATTTCTGCCTGTTGGTCGAACAGCTCCAAGTTGCCAGCTCAGAAACAACATGTATTAAAAATCTAACTTATTATCTTTCCCTTACAAATGTTCTTGTCCTTATAATATTTGTATTTTCATGGGTGCAGTCACCTTTTTCCTATTAATACAGATACCTGAAAAAAGGCATGGAGAAAACAGATGCATTTCATATAGAGAGAAGGGCAAAGAAGTTAAGGGGATTGTGATGAGGTGGTTATAATGGATCATTGAATCCAAGCCAAGAGTGGCCAAAACTGGTAAGCAGATGAAATGGAAAAAGACGAAGCTGTGACTGAAGAATGAGCTGTTGGATTTTGTGACGTTAGTTAGTATGGTTTTGGTGATGATAAACATGAAAATGTGTGACTTAAGATGTATCAAAGAAAATTCACTGGAATTGGGTGCATGTGACTCACATATATAATCTTAGTTACTCAGATTTAAGGATTGTGGTTTGAGGCAAGCCCTGGCAGGAAAATCGATAAGACTCTCATATCCAATTAATCACCAAAAAAGCTGGAAACAGAGCAGCGGCTCAAATAGTAGCGTGCTAGTCTTGAGCACAAAAAACTCAGGGGCATCCCCCAAGCCCTGAGTTTAAGCCCCAGGACTAGTGTAGGAAGAAAGTAAAAAAGTAAGAGGGGAGAGTGGGAAGGATGGAAGGAAGAAAGGAAGGAAGGCAGGAGGAAAGCAAGCTCAATGGAGATGAGTAGGTCAAGGAAGGAAGCAGCTGGATGCTGGACAGATCATTCACATGTATTCCGGATCACTGTAGTCATCTTTTTCTTAACTAATCTATGATACTTCCCTTGTTCCAAATTATTCTGACATGGCACTTTCAATCCAGTATGAACATCTTAAGTGACTTCTCACTATTCTTAAAATAAATTTTATTTTTGTCCATTGTGGGGTTTGAACTCAGGGCCTGGGCACTGTCCCTGAGCTCTTTTGCTCAAGCCTAGTGTTCTACCACTTTGAGCCATAGTTCCACTTCCAATTTTTGAGTGGTTAATTGGAGATGAGGGTCTCAGGGGGACTTTCCTGCTCTGGGTAGCTCTGAACGATGATCCTCAGATCTCAGCCGCCTGAGTAGCTAGGATTACAAGTGTAAGCCACTGGCTCTCAGCTCACTTCCCAATATTCATTGGACAAAAGAGCAAACATAAAATTTAAATTTATTTAAAATTTATCATATGTCAGATAGAACAAAAGTGCCTCTGTATAGTATCTCACTTATTCCTTTCTCCAACCACATCAAGTGGGCATTGCAGTCATCATATTTATAAGCAAAGGAAACTGAAGTGGAGAAGTTAAGCAGCTTCTGCAAGGTCGCTTAGCAATGGTGAATCAGCATTTAATTAAATTCTGTTCTCCTATGTGCATTCCCATCATTCAGCTTGAGGAGCCCTTCAGTTTTCAACTTTGCTCCTAATTACTTTGCTTTACCAGAGGTCAGCAATCAGAAGACAAAAATTGGGCTGCTATTTGCTGGGAATATTGAATGCCTGCCAGCCCTTCCCATGAATATCTCTTCCAACTCTGCCAAAGTTTTATCAGACCTTGAAGCTTCATGATAAACACTCTCTCCATGGGGTTTCCTCTTTACCAACCTAAACTTTGTCAAACATGGGATCCTAGGATCTTTTTCTCCTCTGAACCTCCAAGACTATCTCTCTTATGTAAAATGGCATGTTTATTTATCTATATTGTTAGACTGTTGGGTAGAGACTTGCAGCTTTTGCTTTAGGATTGCCAATAGGAAGTTGATGCAGCTTTGTTGATTAAAGTTGTATTGTAAAAGGACAGATTTGCCTAAGTTTACAGGTGAGATGTGGTAGTATCAGGACTAGAATCTTGCTCTACAAACTTCCAAATCAACATTCTCTACAGTGTCTCCTAATCATTCTTTGTTCTTATTCTAATTTTCTTTCTTTTTGTTTTGCTTTTTGAGCAAGTCCTGAGGCTTGAACTCAGAGCCTGTCCCTGAGCTTTTTTGATCAACGTTAGTACTCTACCATGTGAGCCACAGCTCACATGGAGATAAGGAGTTTCACAGACTTTCCTGCCTAGGCTGAACCGTGATCTCAGATCTCAGTCCCCTGAATAGTTAGGATTACAGGCATGAGCCACCAGCATCTGGCCCTGCCATACTTTTGTCCCTGAAAATATACACAGATTTGGGAGACTTTTGACACTTTCTCTGCCCTAATATAAGAGAAAATCTACCAACAGCCACACATAACACGAACATATACATCTAAGGAACTGCTTTGATTCTTTGGCCAATTAAAGTGCCTATACACCTTCACCCTTTTGATTAGCTTTCCTGGGTCTTCCTGCCCTACACTTAGCCTTTTTGCAGTCCCTTGTTCCTATCAGATTTGCCTTATAACAAAAATCTGGGGCTGGGAAGGTGGCTCAGTGGTAGAGTGCTTGCCTCGCATGCATGAGGCCCTGGGTTCAATTCCTCAGCACCACATAAGCAGAAAAAGCCAGAAGTGGGTGCTGTGGCTCAAGTGGTAGAGCACTAGCCTTGAGCTGAAGAGCTGAAGGATAATGCCCAGGCCCAGAGTTCAGGCCCCACTACCAACTAAAAAAACCAACAAAAATCTGGAAGACCTAAATATCAAGAAATAGAGATGTGAAGTAAACCAGAATAGAACCAAATAATGGAATAGAATGTAGGTGTTAAAAATGACAATATAGAATCTGTGAAGGTGGCTCAGTGGTAGAGTGCTTGCCTTGCATGCCTGAGGCCCTGGGTTTGATTTCTCAGCACCACATAAACAGAAAAAGCTGGAAGTGGTGCTGTGGCTCAAGTGGTAGAATGCTAGGAGTTCAGGCCCCATGAATGACAAAAACAAAAACATAAACAAAAAAACCAAACAACTACAAAAAACTGATAATATAAGCTTGAAGTATGTTCAAGTAGTAGAGTGCCTGTCTACTAAGTATGAGGTCCTGAGTTCAATCCTGAGTACTATCCTCCTCAAAAGAAAAAGGCATAGAAAAACAGATTAATATACTAAAAAATGTTTGTATGGTACAAAAATATTCTCCATCCTGATTAAATTGGTACAGTATAGACTCTTTGCCACTTGTTTATGTCTGTGTTTAAACATTATGTGAATATATTTTCATGGAGAAAGTCCAACAGGATATGTGCCAAGATGGTATTATTTTTGTCACATGTATTTTCTATTTTTCTATAAGGATCTCTCATGTATCTTGTCCTCCCAAAAGACAAAATCTTGTTCTCAGGATAGACATAAAAATCTAGAGTTCTATTAGGGAACTTTCCAGGAGTATTTTAATTTTAATCAGTCAAAGGTGTTAGGCCAAATGAAAGTGTCACAACACAGATGCAAGAAAGTTTTTTTTGTTTTTTGTTTTGGTTAGCCATGACGCTTGAACTCCTTTTTGTTCAAAGCTAGCACTCTACCACTTTGAGCCATAGTGCCACTTCTGGTTTTCTGGTGGTTAATTGTAGGTAAGAGAAACTCAGACTTTCCTGCTAGGCTGACTTTGAACCTTGATCCTCAGATCTTAGCCATCTGAGTAGCTAGGATTACAGGGGTGGGCCTCTGGCACCTAGCTGGAAGAGAGTTTTATATTATTTTATTTTCTTCTGTTAGTGGGAAGGAATTCTGAGCACATTTGAAAATGATCTCTTCCAGATAGTCCAAGGGAATTGTAATTGGGTGAGAGCTGGGACATGAGTAAGGGGACTGTGAGTCTGGGCAAGTATGTCTCAGTATGAGGATCAGGCCCAGGTTAATCTTTGCTTTTTTTGTCTTTCAGCTCTAGTAGCCGGCACACCTGGTAAGTAAGTACTGTACCTATATCCTCTCCTTTCTCCATCTCTCATCTCCCTCCTCTCCCAGTGTCCTTTCTGGAGATGATGTGAATGCACCAGTATCAAAGCTTAGTACTACAAGGGGTCATTGCTCCCAGAAGATCCCCTGCCCCTTTTCCTCCTTCCCAGGAAGGCAGGTGGAGAGTAGTCATAGTGCACAGGTACTTCAAACCTTTTGGTTCTGTTATGGTGAGATGTTACTAGCCTTCCCCCACCCTCATACACACACACACACACACACACACACACACACACACACACGAGCATTCTGACTTTTCTTAATTGCCTTTCACTGTAGATAAAACCAAGAACTTCTAAAAAGGTGTCACATGTATTTTTTATTTTTCTATAAGATTTTTCATGCATCTTGTCCTCCCAGAAGACAAAATCTTGTTCTCAGGATAGTTGTAAGAAAAAAATCTAGAGTGGAGGATAGAGTAGTAGTAGTTACCAAAGCCTGGAAAGGATTAGAAAGAAGGGGAGAATAGAGAGAGGGTAGTTAACAGACATATAGACATACAGTTAAATAGTAGGAATATAACTTCTAATGTCCTGTAGCACAGAAAAGTAAATGTAACTGACAACAATTACTCATACAGTTGAAAATAGCTAATAGAGAGGGTTTCAATGTTCCTAGCACCAATAAATAATATTTGATGAGATAGATCTGTCAGTTTCTCTATTCTGATCATTATACAATAGGTATTGATGTCTTACTGCTCTCCATAAAGACATATAGCTAAGTGTCAGTTTTAGAAAAATTATTTGAAAACAATAAGTACTTCTTCTTTCCAAAGAATTTCTAAACATGTAAAAATTACATGATCTGGTTAGATAAATAAATCCTCCACTTTTTGCATAGGGCTGAGGGCTTCAAGGCCTGTTCTCCTGACTGGGCTATCCCATAACCCTACAGCAGCTTTGGCAGTGTGAGCTTTGCCAGCACTTCTGTGTCCATTCATTCTTCCTCTTCACCTTTTCTCCATCATTTCTTAACCTTCGGAGGCCACAGAGGCTCCTTTATGCTTGGGTGTGAGGACAGGCGTCTGACCTCCTTTGTAAGAGATAACGAATGACATTAGATATGAACAGAAACCTGATATCTAATTCCCATGCCTGACATTTCCACCATATGCCTCCACTTACCTTCTTTGAGAGAGTTTACCGACTAGTGACCAAACACATTAACTTACAAATGAATTTAGAAAAGGAGAAGGGAAGAGAGAAAGATATTGAACTGCTAGAATATACTTACTTATCAAGGTAGATATTTATAGTTCTGTGAGTTTCCTGTGCTATCTCCCCCTTTGTTTTCTTTGTCCTGTCCTGCTAAGGATCAGTTATATCTCCTGGAAGTTCCCTGTGCCCTTGTGGTAGGATGTATAAGGAAGAAATCCACCTCAGTTGAAAAAGTGTTTTGGACCTGGTTCCAATCTTAGTGTCCCAAGTAAGAACATAGATACTTCTTTGTCAGAAATTCTTAGCCTTCTTAGGCTCTTGAGTTTTTCTCTTCTCACCTAGACTTCTCTCTCTGACCCTTTCAACAGATCTCCCCAAGGCTGTGGTGAGACTTGAGCCTCCATGGATCCAGGTACTCCAGGAAGACAATGTGACACTAGCCTGCCAGGGGTCCCACAACCCTGGGAACCACTCCACACAATGGTTCCACAATGGGAAATCCATCCCAGCCCAGGTCCAGCCCAACTACAACTTTAAAGCCAAGAGAAATGACAGTGGGGAGTACAGGTGCCAGATGAGCCAGACCAGCCTCAGTGACCCTGTGCATCTGGTTGTGATAGCCGGTAAGTAGAGGGAGCCCCAGGAAGGGGCTGGGAGGCCAGCAGGGAGCAAATGTGCTTACAAGGCACAGGTTTGCCTGTTCTTGGCAAGCCTAGTCCTGAGCTGCTAGAAGTGCTTTTCCTCATGTATTGCCCTTTTCACTCATCCCTTTGCTTAGTGTATGAGTTGGTGATGGGGTGGGTGTGTCTGTGCAAATTCCTAAGAAATACCTCAGTGCATGTGAATGGTTATTCTTGCCTCAGCCCTGATTGAGCAAGAAGGTTCTAAGGCAACAGACAGGCAGCTGAGTGTGAGAGAAAAGGAAGTCGCCATTTCACAGAAGCCCGTTCACGTTCATGTAGAGCCAAAACACACAGAGTGACCATAACTGAAGTTCAGTCCTGTAAGCAGCCAACCATGTAAATATGATGAATTCATTTACTCCTTCTCTGTCGGTTCCCTTGCCTGCTTCCCAGGGATATTAATGCCTTCCTCACTCACTGAGTTCTGGGAAGAAGTGACATTTCCCTAACCTTTATATCCCTTCTCCACACTCAGTGCTGGGTGTCCTGCTCTGTCTTTTTCTTCCATCATCCTGTAGGCAGTTTGACTTGAAAATTGTGTCTCATCCATTTCTGTATTTGCAGCACCTGAGGCAATGCAGGACTTTGTAAATGTTTGCTGAACACATCAACAATTTTACAAAGTTCCTGTTAAAATAGTAGACTCTCCATAAAGAAGAGCTATCATGTGACTATGATGACTACTGTTGTCGCTCTTCACTTACTCCCCTAAGAGGTATTTAGCAAGCTCATGACTTACCTCTTACTGCCATTATTCATTCAGAGTAGCTCCTCAGTCAGACTGAATTTCTTTCTCCCCACCTCCAGGAAGGGACTGGATCTCTGGATCTCATGTGTCCTTCCTGACAGGACAGGGCTGTAGCTGCCTTCTCCCAGGAGAGGAAAGAGAAGATAAGCATATCTGGGAACTATAAGTAGATGCATGGTCTTATTACACTTTGAGTATACACCATTGTGTGGTGGTCCCTCACCTACTCTGAGATCTTGTAATCTACAGTTTCTTCACAGTTATTTATTCACATTCTTTCCTGCTTTTAGGCCCTCTGCAGAGTTCTTGAAGGCTGTAGTGAAACTTGAGCACCCTCTGACTGGCAGCTGAGGCCCAGACAGAATTAAGTTACTCCTCCAAGGTTTCAGAGTGCATAAATGAGTGGAGCTGGAATTAGAGATCAAAACTATTTGATTCCAGCTCTGGTGGCTCATGCCTGTAATTCTAGCTATTCAGGAGGCTGAGATCTGAGGTTCAAAGCCAGCCAAGGGAAGGAAAGTCCATGAGAGTCTTATCTCCAATTAACTGCCAGAAAACTGGAAGTGGTACATGGATCATGTGCTGAAGCACTAGCCTTGAGCGACAGTGCCCAGGCCCAGAGTTCAAACCCCACAACCAACAAAAAATACAAAACTGATTCTGAATTTAGGCTCTTTCTCTGCACATGAGGTCATACCAATAAGGATAGTCGAGGTCTCAGAGTGAGCCAAAAGACTTTGAGGGGGGTCTGTGTCTTTTCCTGTCTTTCAGACTGGCTGCTGCTTCAGACCCCTCAACTGGTGTTCCAGGAGGGGGACACCATTGTGATGAGGTGCCACAGCTGGAAAGACAGCTTTCTGAACAAGATCACTTTCTACCAGAATGGGACATCCAAGAAGTTCTCCCATTTCAGTAGTAACTTCTCCATCCCCAGTGCCAATCTTAGTCACAGTGGTGATTACTACTGCACAGGAAATATAGGAAGGATGTCCTACTCATCCAAGTCTGTGGCCATCACTGTCCAAAGTAAGTGAATTGTGTCAAGATGTAAGGAGGGAAGAAGTTGAATGAGAAATATCACCACAGCAATAGTGGGCATCGCAGCAAAGAAGAGCATTTTAGAGGCCTTGCCAAGTATTGATTAGTGGGCAGAACTAGGGACCAGAGCTCAGATCATTCAGTTTTCATGTGATGGGTACATAAGGCTGTTCACTTAGAAATGCAGGCTTACACTAAACACATTGGTAAAACAGAGCTTCCTCATTAGTGCAGAGGGTTCCCTTAGGTCCTGTACAGTCCTAAGAGTTGAGGTTTGCCTTGTTTGTTCTCATGTTCACTCAGGAAGGCCTAGCAGATTCTGGGTAGTACCAATACCTCAAACTATAGGAGGTATTAGTCTTACCCTCTCCGCTAGAGCATCACCCCTCTCCTCCTACATATCCATCAATGTGCATTCATTAATTTGGTGGAGACATTTGGCTATGGGGGAGGCACAAGTTCAGCCACTTAAACCTTGCACAGATGCTGCTGCAGAGTGAAGTGAGTATTACATTTGTGAACAATCCAGATTACAGAGCAGCTCCAGGTAACAAGAACAAGGGCATGGAATTGGAGGAGGTGGGATAGTGGAAGTGAGACTATTACTAACCTCATATGTCTTCCCTAGGGCCTGAGTCAAGTGACTCAATGGTGATGGTGATTGTGGCTGTGGTCACTGGGATTATTGTAGCAGTCATTGTTGTTGCCATAGCAATTTTGAGCTACCTCAAGCGAAAACAGAAAGCAGGTTTGTGGCTTGTTTTTGACTCCTGTTGTTATCAATTCCTATTTGGCTGAGGCCCTAGCCTCGGATTTGCTAGAAGCCTTATCTTTGGACTGCAGCATATTTAACATTTGATATAGTTCCACCACTCATTTATTGACTCATTTATTAACTAATCCATTCAATAAGACTTGAACTAACTTGCTTATATGTCAGGCACTGTTATAGACACTGTAAGTGATAGTAAGATAAATGAGTCTAGTTTCTGCCCCCTTAGAGTTCTCAGCATTGTGAGAAAGATAGAAGTTTAAAAAAAAGAAAAAGAATTAACCAGCCCTTAAGAAGTTGGAGGCATGGCTTCGTTTTCAAATCGCCAATGAGCAACGTGTCAGGTACTGAGTCTGAGCCTCTGTCTCACAAAACAGAAAAGAAAGACAGAAGTAAAAGCATATAATTATATTATGGGATACAGCAATGATAGAGAAATGAAAGGCTATGATAATGATAAACAAGAGGCTTCATAATACAGTTGTATCAGTCAGTTTTCTGTCACTATAACAAAATACTTCTGATAATCAGCTTGTAAAGAGAAAGTCTTTTTTTTGGGGGGGGGGTGTCTGGTCGTGGGGCCTGAACTCTGGGTCTGGGCGCTGTCCTTCAGCTCTTCAGCTCAAGGCTAGCACTCTACCACTTGAGCCACAACGCCACTTTCGGGTTTTTCTTTTGGCTTATGTGCTGAGGAATCGAACGCAGGGCCTCATGCATGCAAGGCAAGTGCTCTACCACTGAGCCATCTTCCCAGCCCCAAGAGAAAAGTCTTATGAGGATCTGTTTATGATTGGTTGGCCCTGTTGCTATGGCCTTATGACAAGGTAGCATATACTGATGGGATCAGAGAACTAGGCAAAATTGCTCATCTTATTGCCAAGAACCAAAGAGAACAAGGAAGTAACAAGAAGTCCCAATAGTTCCCTTCAAGAACAAACCTCAGCTGGACCCTGCCACATAAGATTGCACAACCTTCCGATACTATCACCCTGGTGACCAAGTGTCTCACACATGGGCCTTTAGGGTATACTCAAACTAGGGCACCAAACTAGGGTACTCAGCCTGTCCTGGACCAGATTAAAGTTTCATGGGGAAGGTGTATAGTGCAGTGATTGAAACACATGTAGAGCCAGACTTCCTGGATTCAAATCTCAGCTCATAATTCATATAACTTGGATGAGTTCCTCAACCTCTCTGTGCCCGTTTCCTCATCTGGAAAATAGGGACACTTTCCAGGGTTGTTACGACAATGAATGGAGCTGAAGTTCTTATTTAGTCCCTAGTAAATAATAAACAGCCCACAAATAGGAGCTGTTGGCACTGTGGATTAGGTAGCCGTTAATTAGGCAAAGAAGGCTGACAGAACATTCCAGGTGCATGAATCAAGGCATGGAAGTGAGAAATGTTATATATAGGATGGGAATTGAGGAAGAGAAAAGAGAGTGCCATGGGCCACTGAGAAAGAGAGAATAATTTTCTTGTTTCTCTCCCTCCCTCCTCCCTCCTTTCCGTTCCCTCCCTCCCTCCTTCCCTTCCTTCCTTCCTTCCTTCCTTCCGCTCTCTCTCTCTCTCTCTCTCTCTTTCTTTCTTTCTTTGGATGCTGAGTCTTAAACTCAGGGCCTGGGTGCTATCCCTGAGATTCTTTTTTGTCCAAAACTAGCACTCTACCACTTGAACCATAGCTCCACTTCTGGATTTTGGGTAGTTAATTGAAGAGTCACAAAATTTTCTGCCCTGTCTGGCTTTGAACCAGGATCCTCATACCTCAGCTTCCTGGGTAGCTAGGATTTATAGTTGTGAGCCACTGGTACCTGGCAAATAATACTGTTAATATCTCACAAAACATGTTGCAATTGGTTGAGAGATAGGAACTCAGTTATTGATAATAAATAGTGAGAGTTTGGAATACCAAGAGAAAGAGGTTACACTTTTGGAAGGCAGAACAACCTAAGAAATGGAGTGGCCTTCTGACTGTCTTAGAAGTCCCATGGGTTAGCTGTCTTATGTCTCTCTGGACCAGCCCTTTAATACACTATAGTGGTTTCTGGGCTAGGGAGTTGGGAAATGGAGAGGAGGGAAAATGTCTGTGGGAGTGAAGGGTCTGAGGGTTAGAATTTAATCTTACCCTTCCACCCGGAAGAGTCAGGCCCAAGCTGTCATCATATTAACCTCCTATGTGCCCCTCACAGTTCTCAGGAAATATTGAGCACAGGGAAATGGGAGAGACCCTCCCTGAGGAACCAGGTAAGTACAGTGTTCCTTCTGGGGCTCTGTGCTGTCCTGCCTATGGCTATTGATGAGCCAGCAAGAAGCAGCTTGTGTGCATTCTGCTGGAGCACAGGAGAGGGAGGGGGCAGAGGGAGGAAGGCAGGGGCTCTAAGTGCTTGGTTAGTTCTGAGTCTTAATTCCTGGGCCTGAGGAGATGAGGAAAAGGAACATTGGTTACAGATAGAGAGGAGCAGGCTGCATCCAAATTTCTGGGACAGACCCTTCTGGGAATCTGGATAATTCCAGAGTAGAAAATCCAAGATATTTGGATCTTTCTGCAGAGATTTCACAGAACTGGCAAAGGATAGAGGTTAGAAATTGTGAGATGGAGTTTAATAGGAATAAGGAGGTTGAGCCTGAGAAGAAGATAGGAAGAAGCCTGGGAAAAAAACCTGCTAGATTTGATGAGGAATCTGCTCCTGTGTAGGGACAGATATAGATGTGATACAGCTCAGCATTACCTCTGTGTGTGTGTGTGTGTGTGTGTGTGTGTGTGTGTGTGTGTGTGTGTGTACTAGACTTGAACTGAGGGTCTCAGGCTCAAGGCTGGTGCTTTACCACTGAGTCACATTTTCGGTTTCAGCTTTTTGCTAGTTAATTAGAGATAAGAGTCTCTTGGATTTGTCTGCCAACCACAATTTGTCTTCCAACCACAATCCTCAGATCTCAGCTTCCTGAGTAGTTAGGATTATAAACATGAGCTACAAGTGCCCAGTCTATAAAACTTCTGAGTCTTTATAACTCTGACATTTTGAGAGCCAGTGCCCACTTAAATCTCTGCCACTTAATGATTCCACTACTTCCCAACACTACCAATACTTCCAAGTGGAATTATATAAAAGGGGAAGCAGTATTCCAGGCAAACTCCTAACAAGTTAAAAGCAGCACAAGAGAAACTGAAGTTTTTTCTTGGGCCTCCTGGGACAGCAGATAAAGGCAGCAAAGTAAGGTCCTTAAGATTCCACCTCAGACCGCTGGAGTATGACTCAGAGCCAAGCCAACAGATTTGAGAGCTTTAGCAAAAATATATTACTCACCTATCTGCATTTCTAGCAAAGTATGTATACCTTGGCCAGCCCATGTGGTGATATGGAGCTGGGTAAGCAACTGGGATCAGACCAGATGTTGAAAAAGTTCAAACACATGGGCTGGGAAGGTGGCTCAGTGGTAGAGCGCTTGCCTTGCATGCCTGAGGCCCTGAGTTCAATTCCTCAGCACCACATAAGCAAAAAGAAAAAACCTGGAAGTGGCGCTGTGGCTCAAGTGGTAGAGTGCTAGCCTTGAGCTGAAGAGCTGAGGGACAGTGCCCAGGCTCAGAGTTCAGGCCCCATGACCGGACCCACAAAAGAAAAAAAAAAGAAAAGAAAAAGTTCAAACACAACTGGGCTTACCACAGAATCCATGTGGTTTTGTCCACATGGGCATAAATGCAACCATTTATTTCACACGGCACTTATGCAACTAGGCACAAGAACTGGTAGTTTCCCTGAAAGACATAGAGAATTGCTAGGATTGTTGAGGAGAGTAATAAAAGGGAAATTCTGAGCATGAAATGTTGAAGAATTTGGAACATGGCAAATAGGGGCTCTTTGTGTCCAAGAAAAGGGAAGAGACCAGGGGCGTTGTCTCAGATTTTCCTCTGACTTTTGGAGAAATGCTGATTCACAGATCCTGACACTTCTTTTCATACTGGCAAAGTGAAGTTATGGCAAAACCATGAAGAAATTTAGTTTGTTTTGGATTTTTATGAAAGAAAATACTGTCTCCCTCTTTTTCCTCTCTTCTCCCTTGTTCTTCCCTCTGCTCTTTCTTTCCTTTTCCTTTTCCTCTCCTCTTCCCCCTTTCCCTCCCCTCCTTTGCTTTTCTTTCTTTCCCTCCCTTTTATCTTCTATTTTCTGTTCTTCCTGACTTTCTCTTCCATCTTCTATTTTACATTCTCCTCGTTCCTCACTATTTCTTTCATTTTAATACCAAGGAATACCCAATTCTACAGAGTTCTAAGGATTTACATTTGGTCCATGTGAAAATGACTATTAGTCTTCTTTCCCTGGAATCTGTGGCACAAATCTGGACTTTATTTCATTCTGACACAGAACATCTCCCACTGATACCTCAGATCCTCAAATCTGCCTGGTTTGCTTCTAGGAAAGCTCAGCTTTTGTATAAAGGGGGTGGCACACATGACTATCTGTTTTTTGCCAATGTGACCAACGGGAAAAGCTAGGTCTAAGATGGCTAGGTTAGAGGATGGAGGCCATATTGTCTTAGCACTTAGCCTGCAGGCCTAAGTTGGGTTGGGCAGTCTTTGCTGCAGGTATAGTTTGAGCTTTGATTTTACAGCCTTCACAGCAGCACAGGCAAACCCTCTTCTCTATCAGTACTCTGGCTGATGCTCATTCTTTTTTTTTTTTTCCCAGTCAATCCCATTGATTGTGAGGAAACTTCCAAAAGAGAGGTGAGTGGTTCTACCCAGCTCCTTTCCCCTCTCCTCCTCTTCCTTCCCTGTTACCTTATTTTCCAAGGCCTCTCTATGGATCTCATTGCACATCTCTGCTCTCTCTAGAATGGAAATACCATCACCTATTCACTACTCAAGCACCCGGAAGCTCCAGAGGAAGGAACAGAGCCTGGTTATGAGAACCACAATTAGTCTCTCTCTCTCTCTCTCCCCTCTATCCCTCTCTGCCCCTTTCTCTTTCTCTCCCTCTCTCTCTCCCACTCTCCCGCTCTTGCTCTTATGCTAGCTTTTGCTCTCTCACTCTTTCTCTCTATCTGTCTCTAAGAAAATCAATGAGGTGAGGGTCAAATGTCTTCTGTCATCAACTGTCCTTGGAGCAGTCAAGTGGATGCTGCAGTTACAAAGGAAAAGAACTTCCAGAGTTGCCTATGTGAATCCTGAAACGAAGAGACAATACGGTCCCTAGTGGTCGACTTCAGCCTTTGCCTACATAGGCATCAAGGCTCTTTTGTTACAAATCCACACCACTAATAAAACTAATACACTTACTGTTATTAAGAGGTTGTAGCAAGGTGGGGAATACTTCTGTCACAAGTTACTTGAGCACCATTATTTAAGTATATATTATTGCAGAAATGATAAAACAGACTAACAATAAACCAACATGGTCAAAGTGATTATTTCAGGACAATGGAATTATCAGTGATGTTTCATTTTCTTATTTTTCTATGAAGATCATAGATTACTTTTATCATAAAATAATATGAAAACAACATTCTGTTTATCAGGTGAGGGGTACATTGGTTGGAGTGTAGACTGAGCTCTCTGGGGTCTGTTTTACGGTCAATGATAACTATCTTGGGAAGGTAGTAATGGATAGGGGGTGGGGAAGAGGAGTGATGAGGACTTGGAGTATCAGGTGAGCATTCTCTCCAAATTGAGCACTTTTCTTTTCTTTTTTTTGGTGGGGGGTCAGGTTGTGGGGCCTGAACTCTGGGCCTGGGCACTGTCCCTCAGCTCTTCAGCTCAACGCTAGCGCTCTACCACTTGAGTCACAGCGCCACTTCCGGGTTTTTTCTTTTTTGCTTATGTGGTGCTGAGGAATCGAACCCAGGGCCTCAGGCTTGCAAGGCAAGCCCTCTACCACTGAGCCAACTCCCCAGCCCCTGAGCACTTTTCTTCTATGAACTGGTATTCTTTTCTTTTCTTTTTAGTGTAGATCCTGGGGCTTGAACTCAGCCTGGTTGTTGTCCCTGAGCTTTTGTGCTCAAGGATAGCACTCTACCATGTAAGCCACATTTCGACGTCTGGCTTTTTAGATGGTTAATTAGAGAGAAGAGTTTCTTCCTCAGGCTGGCTTTAAACTACTATCCTCAGACCTCAACCTCTTGAGTAGCTAGGATTACAGACATGAGTCACTGGTACCAGCTGAACTGGTATTGTTCCATGCCTTCTTTTTTTCCTCCTATGGTAATCAAAAATGATCATTTTGCTTTATTATGTCAGACTTTAGATGAGGGTCTGTGAGGAATGTTTTCTGCTTCCAGAGGATATGATCTCAGAGAAGCCATTCAAGACAGGTTAAAATAGGACTTCTGGCTTAGTTGGGAGGCGGGTCTAGTGAATGCCCTTGAGTTGGCTTCATCTCAGATCATTGTGAAACATTTTTAAATTTTTTTTTATTTTTTATTTTATTTTATTTTATTTATTTTTTTTTGTCGGTCATGGGGCTTAAACTCTGGGCCTGGGCGCTGTCCCTCAGCTCTTCAGCTCAAGGCGAGCGCTCTACCACTTGAGCTACAGCGCCACTTCCGGTTTTCTGGTGGTTTATT